AGACCCACAAGAAATTTCTTAGTCTTATGTAAAATGACAAAAAACCAAACCACATGTAATGAAATGCAACAGAGAAACCCACAACTATTGAATGTACAAAAAATTAAACAGAAGGGAATAGTGGGAATGATGTTGATGTAACTTCACATTCATGTTGACACACTAGCCGTGTAGGATGTCTATGTTAAAAGGAAGAGCCACATTACTACTTTGTTATAGGTCATGCAACTAAATATGGGGGATATATTTCTATTCCATACTTCACAATGAGGTTGGAATATTTAGTAATTGATGGCTAACTATTAAACTTAGAGATCAAGACCAATGTGAACATCTATAAGTTAGACAAGAGTATTGATATGAGCCTCCCTAAAGAATATGACAACAATTTTCAGTTGAGTCAACAACAAAGCACCCTTTAAAGTGATTTGGACAGCTATTATTAAACAGGAAACAAACAGAAAACTTTAAATTATTAGACTGAATCTCTGATTGTATGAGAATGTACCAATTCTTTTCCAAGCATTAGAAAACTCAGCACAGCGGTTACTCCCAGATGAATATACCTAATCAATTTCAATAACACCTCATGAGACCATATACTTTCTTATCAGAAATATATTTAAAAGGCATAAAGTAAGTGGCATAACCAGTACATAAAAGCAATAGTGACAGAAAAGAAGCATAAAATAAAGAAAGAAAGAGAGTGAAACCATAAAAACATATTTAAGAAAAAAGGATTTGTTAACTCCCAAGAACAAAGTTGCACAAGTAAAGGACAAACATATTGAAAGCCAAGAAAACAAGGTAACAAAACTTCCTGAAAAAGAAAATATGCAGGCAAATTATAGGTAGCTACTATACCTGTATTAGCCATGGTTTGGAATTTTGAAATATCGACTGAAAATTTGTAAAGCTAATAACATTAAAAGCATCATCTCCAGAATCTGGGATAAGAATCAAGATTTATGAATTAACCAGCTGAAAATAAATACTTTACAAGGTAACAAATTTCCTAATGAAAAAACCAATAGTAGGAAATGAAAAGAAAGAAACTTCTGTAAGTGTGCTAACCATAAGCAGCAGGATGTAGTACCGGAAGCTCTACATGTGAAAAGTTTTCCCCAGCATATTGCATTTCAACCTTGTCTATAACATGCTGCAGCCAAGAAATCAAATTATTCAATGCAACAATATCAAACCAGGCAGAAGAGGAAAAAAAGTCTCTTTTTCCTTTTTTTTTTTATCCTTTTTCATTTTGCTTCCACAAAGCGGCTGCTTGAGAACAAAAATCTGGCAAACTAAGCAAAGTACCAAAAGCATGATACTTACAAGTTGCTCATCAATGCCAAATATGTCATAATCCCTTTTCCACACCGGGATTTCTTAGCACTCATAGCATATTGGATCTGCATGCATATCAGATTTAAACCTTATGGTTTGCCGC